TTTTGGATGAAAAAATCGAGTCCAAACAAACTCTAAATTTAGTAAGTGTTAAACGGGGGAAAAGATTATTTTGAAATTTGAAGAGCTTCCCTTTAAAAATAAAATAAGGGTTGTGCTGTATGTACACAATGGTATACAGAGCACCTTACACCCCCCTGACATGGAGTTGGACCCACATGTAATTAAATATTTATGGACTCCTTTCATGTAAGCAGGTGTAAGATTGTATATACACTATCAGGTGTACACACAGCTTTATCCAATGCTGTGTGTACAACTTATCGTGTACACATAGCCTTACACCCCCCTTATATGGAGGGGGTCTAAGCCTGTGTGTACACCATTGTATACACACAATACAACCCTTAAAAATAAGCTATATGGCCTCCGATAGAAAAAATAGTCGGGATTAGACTTCTTGTCTAAATATCAGAGATTGAAAAAAAATATTTGTTCAAAAGGGTCACCATTATAAAATAAAATAAAAAATTCTAATGAATTTAATCTATATAAAATGCTTATTTTATAAGGCTAGAATACTATTTATCTGGTTTTATTTTTTATGGTACAAATTTCTTAGTATCAGTTGAAGCATTTATTTTGCCTGACGCACATTATAATGCAGAACAGGCCAAGGCGTAATATAAATGGCAATCCAAAATTCCAGTACTAACAACAGCAAAAGCATCAAATTCTTTCGTTCCACAAGAAAAATTAATAATACGTGCAATAATAATTTTGTCCACGTGAGCTCTTCGACAAACCTCAAAGGACCCCAATCATATGCCAGCGTGGCTAACCAAAGCACAAGACGCGTTGGCACTTGCAGCACCATTCAACAACAAAATACTCATTGGAAGCCTCGTCTAAACAATGAAAATAAAGGCCCCGCTACAGTGACAGGGGAGATCTGAAATTCATTATTTTTTTGCTATTCAGATCAATGGTCAAGGTGTTAGGGCTTGTCACTTGGCCTTGGCCAAGTAGAATAATACTGAAAATTAAGGCCTTGCCTCGATTTCGGACATGTAGACGCCAATTTAAGTATGCATTCTAATGCGATCAAATCAACATGATCTTCCATGCAAATCCATGCGTATACATAAACAAATTATATACCAAGTGTCACGAAAACACAAAACTAAATCAAAACTTTTTAAATCTTTTCATTGAAGCAAAATTTGAATTTAAATTCATCGGGATGGAAATAAGGATGTCAAAGTGATTTTGAAGATATTAATTTACACCATCATTAAAAACGCTGTAAGGCAATTGTGTTGGTAAGACGAGCATTGTAATGACTCTCAAAAAGAAAAAAAATGAAGGAGATCAAGAGTGCAGAGTAAGGTCAGGAGATAACGTTCGATCTGCAAATGTAAGAGGAAATTACGAATAAGATGTATGAAATGGAGGAAAGGTAACTAATGTCTTATAACGTTAACAGAAGAATATTCTCTTAACAATTTTCTGTTATATGCACTAGCATTCTTATATTATCTACTCAGCCGGTTTGCCTACTTAGCAAACTATTATTAGAATTTGATTGATTGCACTATCGTCTATTTAGGTGAAACTCTCCAATTTTAAGTTAATTTACGGGCGAACTTTGATCTTTGCTAAGGTACGACAAACCAATAAAAGCAAAAACTATTTACTATAATTTGTTGCTCCGATGGTCAAAAATGCCTTGAGATATAATATTTAAAATCGCAGAGTAATCTAATGATTTTTCTAGGATCAACTTTCAGAGTGAGTTACTAAAAATTAATGAACAATACTACTTATACATAATGGAATTATATAATAGTTTACCTGTACACGAGGTGTCAAAAAATGTTTAGAATTTTTTATTTTTTTACTTTTAATTTGGTTGAAGAAATTCGGACTCAATCATCACATCATGTTATGTAAATTATTATGTAATATGTAACATGACTGATGATTAATTGTTGGAAATTAAAGCTTCTGGTGGCAATGGGTGACGGTGCACTGCCGTCCGCCTCACGGCACTGCTACACCCAATATAGAGGGTGTTTGTGAGATATTTTTTATGTAAAAATGTATTTTTGAATAGTAAATTGATAGGAAATATATGGTTGAAAAATAAGAAAATTTTTTTGATTTACGCGTAATTGTAATATTATTTTAATAAAAAACATGTGGTTGAAAAAAAGAAAAAAAAATAAATTTTGAAAAAAATGAATACCAAACGAGGCGTTAGTATAGCGCAACGAATTTTTGCACGCAAACATTATTAGGTGGAGGACCACATTTTACCCTGTAGTAAGGTGCACCTCAGTTACCCTTTGTAGAAAGAAAAATATGGACCCAAATTACCAAGATAAGTGGGACCACACGCCTTTTATTGAGCCCGTCCGGACGGACCACTTGATGTCCCCACATAGCTCTAATTGATACACGTCATGAACGCCTATTGGTGGATTCCTCTCGCGTAATTGCTTGGTCCCCTCTTTTGCCGAGTTGCCACGTGTTCCTTTCCTCCTTGAGTGGCGGAGTGTGCGGGTTGACACAATTTATGATTTTTGTTTTTTTCTCTCGACAGCTTTTTTAAGCCCACAATCATTATTTGAAAGGCATAAAGACTTTGAACAAATTTGATGCCGTCAAGTTCTCTATGCTTTTTCTTTTTAATTATTAAATAATTTTTAGATTGACTAAAACTTTAAAATAATATTAAAATTAAAAAAATACTTCTTTACATAAGTGGAAGCTGGACCTCCATGATTCGCTATACTTTACGTTTTTTGGAACACTGTTATTTAGTATTTATTTGACTTACAGTTGTCATAAAATATTTTCAAAATGTATTTTTCTTTTTTTATTTTCAATAACACATTTTTTAATAAGATAATATTACACGTAAATTTAAATCTTTTCTTTATTTTTAATCACGTATTCTCCATCAAAATATATTTTTGACAGAAAAATGGGAATGTAATTTGCATCATACAGGAAATAATGCACAAAATCCATACAAGTGCTGCCTGTATGCATTTTCTGTCACGTTTGAATCCAAAACAAATGAAAATTATCAAATGTTTCTATCAAAATTTGGTGAAATTTCTCTTTACGTGTAGCACTGCTCATGTAATTTTATTTCTTTTGATTGATGGGTGGAAAAAACTGATACTATTTGTCTTTTGCTATAGAAGTCAAAAAAATTTATTTTAACACGGCAGTTACTTGCTGGCATTTTTTTTCAATCAATCATTGTCTTATCAAATTGTCAAATCAAACAATTGAATAACTTAGGCCTTGCTTCAGTCCCATTTTTTCTTCAAAATGTTACTTCAATCACATATTTTTCAATAAATTAATATTACACACAAATTTAAAATTTTTCTTTATTTTTTAACCATACATTCTTTATCACAACACTATTCCAAAATGTATTCTTTTAAATAAAAATGGGTGGAATATAGTATTTTAAAAAAAAACGGTTAAAAAAGAAAGAAAATTTTTCAATTTACATGTAATATTAATTTATGAAAGATTGTGTGATTGAAAATAGGAGATAGAAATATAAAATGTAATTTAATAGAGGCAAATAGTAATATAAGTTCATCTTGATAATTAAGCCACCGTTTGAGCCCCATTCTTTTCATAAGAATGATTTTTTGAATATTGTATTGATGAAAAATGTGTGGTTAAAGAATAAGAAAAAAATTTGAATTTATGTGTAATATTGTTTCTATTGAAAATGTGTGATTGAAATGATGTCAAAATACTGCTTAAAAATATATTTTTTTCAAAGAAAGGGCTCAAACAGGGGCTAAATTCCTTGTTCCGATTAGATGACCTAGTCAACACAAAATTAATTAGAGAGAATTATGCATTTAAATCACATATTATGTTTTGAAAATTCGATTGAAATTTTAGAACTTAAGGTTTTATTGAAAAAGTCAGTAATAATTTAATTAATTAGTAGTAGAAACGTTGTAATAAAAAAAATTGACGTATGGCAGTTGGGAGTTGGTCTCTCACGTGACACGCACGCATATAGCCAACCAAAATTAGTCCACGCCCAAAGCTAAAAGTGCCTTTCTAGCTTATGATATGATTCCACCCCTCCCTTCCGAATCAACAAGTTGGGAATTATAAATAAATAATTGTAGAAACCCAGCTAAACTGACTCGAGCGTGTAATAAGTTGAATTTCGAAATCATTATATATATTTACACCATATTCTTTATATAATTAGACTACATTTTAATTCAATAAAATGTTAATAATTTACACACATTATCACACTTATGTTTTAAACTTTTTTTAATGTATTCTTACTTTTAAAGTAACATAAACTATTTCTGATTATGATTTCTCTTCAAAATTTGCTTTAAAATAAAGCAAAAAGACTCAATTACTCATTATATTTTTAAATAACCAAAAAAAAAAAGAATAATAATAATGCACAAATGCGATTAAATAATTAACTCGCATTTTTCAAACATGCTAATGATATTTTGGACGAAAAGCGATTAGATTCGTAAAAGGATGTGATAAGATTGAAAATTAACTGTATTGCTAGCGAACCACTTGTCACTACAAAGAAAGCGATATTTATAGAGATAAACATTACTTGATTACAAGCTAATGATATTTAGAAAGGGAACGATAAAGTCAACACCTATAGTTGTACGATTTAACCAAATATAATTTGATCATAGGTTGATCGGAAGAAGGAAATAAACAATTCTAGATCATGATAATGTAAATACCAAATCAATTCTGGACAGAAAAACAACCGCAAAAGAGAAGGAAACAAAATTGCAAGCCAAATGAGCTATATAAAAAACCACTTGTTAGACAACAGAAATGTGTCGTAGAGTGTACATAGTTAGTTTGAGTGTGCCCACGTAAAATTTCACCAATCTTTTACTTCTATTTAAATAAAAAAAAAAAACACACACACACACACACACAATTGAAAAAGCTGTTTTCCTCCAAGCAAGTAAACGGGAAACCACTCTTCCTATTCCCCGTTTTCACCTTCCTCTTTCACCCCTTCTAACACCCCACGCGCAATATATACATACGCATACGTGTAGAGTAGAGATATAGTAATACGCTCAAGTTTCTCTCTCTTGTTTCCTTTGTATATAAGCACCTCCCACTCGCACCAGAGTGAGAGAGCAGGTGGCTACTTCACAATTTTCTCTCTCATCATCCTGTCGTTGACGTTCATTTTTCACGCACAAAAATCGCATATCTATATATATGTAACTTCTCTATATTATAATTTGGAGATATATGTCATGTAATAATCTGCGTCGTCATATTGAATTACATATAATACAGATATATATTTTTTGTGGGCTAGGATATTAATGGCGTTTCCAAATCATTTGTCACAAGAAATGGCTTTACAGCATTATTCAGACCAACATATAACGCAGAATTCATCGGTGCTAAGGAATATACTCCCCGAGCAGCTGGGAGATCATTCTCCGACGGAAGAAAAGCCGCCGGAGCACAACCACCCACGCCCACCGCCTACTTGGCTAAACAGGGCAATTCTCCGGCAGCAGGGTCAGTTCTCGTCCTCTGGAGAAGGAAATTTTCTCAACCTGCAAACTAACTCAGACTCCCCGTCGGCCGCTGCAGTGGCGTTGCAGGTGCCAAACAATCAGTGGCTTTCGCGGTCGATTTTGCAGCGGAATATCAGTGATGTGAGGGATGATATTCAGGTGTCCAATGCTTCGATGATCGCTGCCGCAATTTCTCATGAATCCGCCGATGTAAACAATAACAACAACCATAGCGCGAATGATAACAATGACCTAACGGAGAGTGGAGGTGGCGCCGCAGGTGACAGAGCGGTGAATTGGCATAATGCGAGGTACAAAGCAGAAATCTTATCGCACCCATTATACGAGCAGTTGTTATCGGCACATGTGGCATGCTTGCGCATCGCCACACCGGTGGATCAGCTACCAAGGATTGATGCGCAGCTCGCACAGTCACAGCAAATTGTGGCTAAATACTCCTCCCTTGGACATGGAAATCTTGGTGTTGATAAAGAGCTTGATCAGTTTATGGTAAATTTTATTTCCCTTCTTTTACAATTATTTTTATTATATCTAGTTGAACTTTTTAAATTTATTCAATTCATTCATGAGAATTAAGACTCCAATAAGGGAGAGAATTTTGTGGGTTTCGATTCTTTTGTGAGATAAACTATGAAGGATTTGATGGTATGGTTCAGAGTTTTGTTTCTTTGTCTTGCTTCAATTTTTTTTTATCTGGTTCATGAATTTATTGTACCTCAGACCTCTGAGCGTATTCTATAATTTCAAATAAAAAACTCTTTGTCTTAAACTTCGGCCTTGTAAAAGATATATAAGGAAATAACGTATTTTCTTATTCACAAGGGCATAATTCTCGATATGGGGTGTTAACTGAAGTCGATTGTGTTCCAATGTGAATAAGAAATAAGTATGAACATCTCAAATCTTGTCATTGTTATTATATTGTGATTGTTAAAGGTGGGGTGCTTCTCCATAAAAGATAACAAATTTCTAGTTAAATGGGGATTATTCTAATGATCAGCAACTACTGAATGAATCAATGAAAGTTCTTATGTAGTTTCCCACAAGAAAACATTTTCCAACTCCCACGACGTGAAGAGTGACTTAGACAGAATCTGGTAGAGAGACCATTGTAGTGGACTTTGAACTTGCTCATAAGAATTTTCTAGAGAAAATGGAGTTCATGCATGGTTGATCCTTCCAGACTATGATGCACGCGTGTCCGACACGATACGTGTCGAATACGCCGACACATGATTTTTCAAAAAAGTACGGACACGTCACCAACACATTGATTCAAATCTTTAAAGATCTTCATTTATGTAGTAGAAATTTAGTATTACACTTTTTTTTTTTTTGTGAAAATATTTTAAATATGAGTACCTATTTGTTATTTAGTAATAAGTTTGAGTTAAAAATATATAATATTTTTGATAAATAGTAGAAAATGTTTATGGTAGAGTCTCCGAGGATGTCGGCATCGACACGTATCAGACACGAACATGCTATGCTAATGAGACATAGTCACATCTTCGCAGTTACCAGTCATCTCAATTGATAGTGTAATTTGGTAATTTTGCTCCAGGCACATGTTGAGATGCATAGTTTTTCTAGAAAAGTGAAGGTGCAAAAATGTTTTATCTTAGGAAGTTGACTTCGTAAAGATGTTTCTGTTGTGTCCTTCAGGTTTCTGCTTTTGTTCCTATAGAAGTTGATGATTCAGTTTTTAGTTTACTCAATATACTATAATTTCTGTGTTTCTTAAATGGTTCCGTTTGTAGAGAGTTTGTATCTAGAGATGGTAAGATTTTAGTTTCCATAAACTGCTCCATTCACGGGGAAACCAGGCAGTTGGGCTCTCGAGAGATCATTTACAATCAAAATTGGATTTACTTGCCTGCTTTGCCATTGCAGCAGATGCCCTGATAAACTGAAGTGAACTATGTAGAACTTGAAAGGGACAATACTAAGCCATCTAATTCTGGCTATAGTTGTGTGGACTCTGGGTTTGAATTTTCTGTAATTTTATACTTTCATCTGGCAGAATACTGTTTCTTGATAAACTACGTGATATTATGGCAGGGTAAACTAAGGAATATGCACAATTTTCTGTGGAGTTTATTATTGTTTACACTTTGTAGGTGCAAAGAAAAGACTTTTATGCATGTCTAGATGTGCACAACACC